AGGTTAACTTGCCTAATGGCAAACACTAAGTATGGATTCCAATTCTGTCCGAGTCTCCAAGGTCCCAGAATTAACGATCAGTCTGCTTTTTCCCTCTTCTCTTTGTTTACACCCTACCTCCATCCCTCCTACCTTCTTGTCTCCCATCCCTCCTCTTTTCTCTCTTCTCCTTCCTTTTCCCACCCTTCTCTTTTTTAGAGGGAAAAACTATAGCTGAACTCCCAGTCAGGCAGCCTCTGCAGTTTCCTCCTCGGGTGTGATGAAAGACTGTCTCTGAGGGTGATGAGCAAAGAAGGAAGTAAATATGCTGAATATTTAGTGGGTGCTAAGCAGCATGCAAAGAGCTTTTTTTTGACTTATCTCATTTAATCCTGTAAGCCTCTAGAAAAAGGAGTTCCTATTGTTATATCTATTTAACAATGAGGAAACTGAGGCTCAGACAGGCACCTTGCCCAAAGTCGCACAGTTTTAATGAACAGAGCAAAGGATAAATCATGATCTGACATGTCTGGTGCAAAGGTGCATCACGGATTGCTATTACTCTCTCCCCGCTTTATGCTATACTTTTCAGTATGGTGGAGAAAATGGTCCTTTTCTGGGTGATGTTTGTCAACTGCTCCTCAAGAACTTAACAATGGTAAAATCATGGTGATTCCACCCGTCTTTCAAAGTCTTTTGCCATCTGCCCATTTTTACTTGGTCAATTCCATTTCCCACGACTCCCCTTTTCCTGTCTGTTACCGCTGTCTGTTACACTCACTTCCTTGTCCATGCTTTCTAGTCTCCACTATCAAGCTGCACACATCCTTCAATGCCCAACTTAAGCACTTCCTTATACACTCCTCATCTCTTGGTCCTAGGTGACAGAGACATTTCATCACCTCACAGCTCCATACCAAAGCTTTCAGTGATAGCCCTTTAATTGCTAAACGGAAGCCAGGCTTAGTATTCAAGGTAGCCATTGTCACCATATGTCTTGTGAGAGCCAGTTATGTGCTAGGTACTCTTGAGGTGCTGGGCAAAGTGTAGAGAACCAGACAGACAAGTTTCTATCCTGATGGTGAACAAACTGGACATTAAATAATTACAAATAATCAACTAAATAATTATTCGTCTGAGTCAAGCAATTACAAGGTCCTCTAGAATCTGGTCTCAGCCTATTTTCAGTTCCTCCTCATCCTTTTATTCCATGCAGACAAGCCTACTCATTCCATCCCCACCTCTGTGTCTGTGCCCACACTCTCCCATTTTTCCTGGGTGCTGGTTCTTAACTGCTCCACCCTGTGCCCCTCTGGGACCAACTTTGGTTCCACCTCTTCCATGAAACTCTGCTACACAACTTTAGCCCAGAGGACCTTTCCTCATTTGAATTTCTAGCACTTCTCCATTGGACAAATATTGACTGAATGACTTCTTGAAATGTTTGATGAATGACTCTTCATGAAGTCCTAAACACATGCTTCGGTATTAAAGATTTAAATTATATAAGGAGTTAGAGTTTTCCTACTGAGGGGGATCAGGATTTTTTTCCTCTTCTCCTCTGGGTGTGTGGGGGGGGGGGAGGGGAGGGGAAGTGGAGCTCAAAAAAGCTACAGTAAAATTTACAAAATTACCAATGAACAAAATGACAATAAAAACTGCCCAATTACTCATAATGATGTGAGAAACAGGCAGATGAAAAATTAAATTCCCTTACTGCCTACACCCTTTGACAAGTCTTTGAGACAGGCAGAGTGACCTCCCTCTAGAGGGTCAGCTGCCTCAATGATGACACTTTGCTAATGGCAAAATGGAATCTTAGCTTAACATTAACAGACTCCCTCCAGAATCTTCTAAGTCTACTTTAACATATAAAAATTCCTTTGGAAACTTCCTTTATCTTTACCCCCCACCCAAGATATATGTTGACCATCATCCTTCAAGCATATGGCCCACTGATATACATCTTAAGGGTCTCATGACTGAGGTTTTTACTAGACTGTAATAAATGACCTTTTCCTAACAATAGCTAGCTTCCCCCCCCCCCCCCCCCGCCCCGCCAAGGTCGTGGAAAACTTGCACCCAAAATTCCTTAGAGACTTTCACTATCCCTAACCCCCTCCGAACCTGAAGGTTAAAAAAATCAGTCACCAGTCACAACCCCAGTGCAGCTCTTTCTGTCTACGGGTCCTGTCCCCGTGCTTTAATAAAGTCACCTTTTTGCACCAAAGACGTCTCAAAAATTCTTTCTTGACCATCAGCTCTGGACCCCCACCACTCCCAAACCACATCAATAATCTTACTACTTGAAGGAAATCTGCCACTGATAGCTTTCTATCTTCCTAGTTTTTTGTTTCTATTTCTGTGTGTGTGTGTGTCTAGGAAAATTTTCTTTTTCCTCAAAGATTATCAAGAAAATCTTTTTTCTCATGGTCTCTTTTTATTATTTATTTTATTTTTACATCTATTTACTTTTGAGAGACACAGTGAGACAGAGCGTGAGCAGGGGAGGGGCAGAGAGAGAAGCACACACAGAATCCGAAGCAGGCTCCAGGCTCTGAGCAAGCGGTCAGCACAGAGCCCGACGCAGGGCTCCAATCCACGAAACGTGAGCTCGTGACCTGAGTCGAAGTCGGACATTTAACTGACTGAGCCACCCAGGCGGCCCAGTTATGGTCTCTTTTTATTTTTTATTTTTTTAATATTTTTAATTTATTTCTAGGAGAGAGAGAGACAGCGTGAGCAGGGGAGGGTCAGAGAGAGAGGGAGTCACAGACTGAAACAGGCTCCAGGCTCTGAGCCGGCAGTCAGCACAGAGCCCGACGCGGGGCCCGAACCACAAACCACGAGATCATGACCTAAGCGAAAGTCGGACGCTTAACCGACTAAGCTACCCAGGCGCCCCTGGTCTCTTTTTAAAACAGAGTACCTCTACCCCCACTTTCCTGCTCTTCTGCGTGAGGGTGGAATCGTTTGTTCTAGGTTGAACAAAACCTAGAGAATTTACTCAAAGACCCCCATATCTTTTCCAGTTCACTGATCCCATGTACAACAAAGAATCTGAACATTGTTTTATGGTATTTACTCAGAAGCCCTTTCTCAAGACCTATGCTAGAAAGCTCTTCAGAACAGCCCTCTTCTCCAACACTTCCAATGTGTGGGATGCCTAGGTGTAAGGTGTAGCCATACTTTTATGCAAACCACAGAATGCGGGGTCTAAAAGAACACAGATCTTCCAGTCCCCACCTCCCCCTCCCCCTCCCCCATCCCTTACAGGATGAACAGACTGAACTACAGTATTAAGTTGCAGCTGGGCCGGACAGGACTGAAGATACCAGATCTGGTTATCTTCAGAGATTGCTCCACTGTCCCCAGCTTGGCTAACAATCAACCTCAAATTAAAACTAAACAGAAAATACTCAGTGAAGCACCAACTCTTGCTAAGCAAATTGTATTTACTCCAGCCACTGAAAGGGAAAAGGTAACACTGTTTGGTAGAGATTAGATCTTTCGGCATTGCCTTGTTTTGAAACGTCAAAAAACTTTCTCTTTGGAAATCTGTATTACTATGATAGGATTAAAGCAAAGAGGAAATATCAGGGGCCACTTACCCCATTCTTTCCTACTGTCTGTGAAATGGAGAACAAAAGGGCGTAGGAAAAGGTTGGCCCTTGATCATGAACTGTAGCATTGGCCTGTCTGTATATTCTACTTTGGTTCTTAATCTGATTTCTAGAGGTCACAGTGATCTGAGGTGCAACTCGTTCAAGCAAAAGAAACCCACAATCTAGAAAAGCTGTGTTTCTTCAGAGAGGCCAAGCCCTCTCTTCACGGACAGCTTTCAAACTGGGCTTTCCAGTCGCAGTTTGAAGCCCCAGGAAGGTGGTCTCTCATTCTCTCTGAATTCTAAAAAATGCCGGTATTGGAATCGCTTCTTACAAAGGCGGGAGTTGTGTGAAAAGGGCGGGAACTGCAGTTTTAAGAGTGCTTCTTCTAAAGAACGTTCCGATGGGCCTAAAGGCCTTATAGAGATGAAAGGTTTCCTGGGTGCGAAAGGGTCTGGGAGCGGTAGCTGACCCACCTGGCTGGACTGGGGTAGAGGCACATCCGAGCGCGGGGAGACCCCCACCGCAGGAGCGAGCCAGAGAAGAAAGGGCTCTGAGGGGGAGGCACAACCCAGCTCGCTTGTCCTCTGCTCCCTCTCAAAAGCTCGCTTTAGGATCAAGAGCACAGGTGCTGGCCAACGGGGCCACTGCCCTACCCCAGCAAACAAAGGGCGCAGCCTCCAACAGCCTTTTTGGTCTGAATGGAGGCTCGGCCGTACCTTTCAGCGTCCACCCATCCCTCCTCATGCACCCAATGAGGCCGCAGCCTCCTGCTGCCTGGAGGTGTTGAACTCTCGCAGGAAATGGACAGGTAGCACGGACCAATGGTTGGAGCTGCCGCGGGCCAATGGGAGAGAGAAATGGGTCGACCTGGGGTTGAGAAGGAGAGCCCGCAAAAGGGGGCGGGGCCGCGGGGGAGGGACACGTAGGCGCCGGGGTTGGAGACGGGCGGGCGGGTGGCTGCCGGGGCAGCTCCAGCCGCGGCGCGAGGAACCTGCGGAAGGTCTGCCGCGACCAATGGGAGGGCAGGTTGGCCTGGGGGGGGTGGGCCCGGCGCCGGGCGGCCCCGCCCCTTCGGGTCCGCAGGGCTGGGGCGGAGCCAGGTCCGCGTCAGGTGGTCCCGGGCGTGCGGGCGGCGCTGGGGGCGGGGCGCGGCGCGGAAAGGGGAGCGGCGGCCAGCGGGCGGCGGCGGGCCCCGGCTGCGCGAGCAGGTACCCGCGGCAGAGGTGGCCAGGCCGCCCCGGTGGGGCGAGCGCGAAGGCGGGGGCTCCGGCCCGTCGCGCCCCCATGCCGCGGTGAGCACTCGCGCTCGGCGCACTTGTCGCCGCGCCGCGCCTGCCCCAGCGAGCCGGCTCTCTCCGCCCCGCCAGCCCGGGCCCTACCTGCGGCCGCCGTCGGGGGAGGGGGGTCCCCCCAGCTCTGCGGAGCCGCATGAACAATAGGCGGCGGCGGCTCCTGCGGGCGGCGGCAGCCCCGCACCCTATGGATCGGCCGCTCCATGGAGCCCTCCAGAGCGCTTCTCGGCTGCCTGGCGAGCGCCGCCGCTGCCGCCCCGCCGGGGGAGGATGGAGCGGGGGCCGCGGCCGAGGAGGAGGAGGAGGAGGAGGAGGAGGCGGCGGCGGCCCCCGGGGAGCTGGGTTCCGATGCGCCGCTGCCCTACTGGACGGCGGTGTTCGAGTACGAGGCTGCAGGCGAGGACGAGCTGACCCTGCGGCTGGGCGACGTGGTGGAGGTGCTGTCCAAGGACTCGCAGGTGTCCGGCGACGAGGGCTGGTGGACCGGGCAGCTGAACCAGCGGGTGGGCATCTTCCCCAGCAACTACGTGACCCCGCGCAGCGCCTTCTCCAGTCGTTGCCAGCACGGCGGCGAAGACCCCAGTTGCTACCCGCCCATTCAGTGTAAGGCAAAGGCGGGGCCGCAGGGCCGGGCGGAGAGTGGGGCTGGAGGCCTGGGGGTGGTCTCGGAGCGGGTGGGGAATGATTGACCGCAGGTTGGGTGTGTGTGCGCGCGCGCGCTGCAGGCAGGGGCTTTGGTGGGTGCGATGGGTAAGGTCGAGACGCCGCAGGCCTTGCCTGGACCCTCTGGCGCTCGGGCTCCTTAACCTTCATCTGACCACCTCAGCAGCAGCGTCTGCTTTCCACATCCAGAAGCCCCAGCGTGAGAATCTCCCCCATTTCCCGCTCCCCGCTCCCCCCAAATCTGGAAGGATGTCAGGCCGGCTGTCATAACCTTAGTCCCCAAATCAGGGACCTTCTCGACCTCTTCTGCCTCCTGTCCCCGCCCCTTCAAGGCATTTGTTAGCGAGCAGATGGGGGTGTCTCCCGCAGGGCTGGCTCTCAAGTCCCGGAAGCCTGTGTGAACTCGGGTCTGAACTGTCTTTGAAATGTCGTGTCGATTTCTGGGATCGCAATCACGTATCTCAGAAGTTGTACCTTTAGGAGTCTCGCTGAGAAGGGTCTAGTGTGTGGAGAAGCAGGTGATGGGGTGAGAGATGATTAGAGAGGGAAAAAGATGTCCTTCCCCCGTGAAAGTGGCTAGATCCCAGTCCCTTGACACCCAGGCCGTTCAGATAATACATTTCTCCTTATTTCTCACCCTAGATCCTTGCCTATATTTGGTGTTTGCCGAATCGCAAGGGGACCATGCCCATGGGTCCCTCCCAGGTCCTTTCTTCCAGTGCCCTGGTTTTCACCAGTTTCCCAGGAGCCCCCTGTTCCACACCCTGCAATGAAATTCCCTTTTTTTGGTTTTTCTTTTAAAGGGGTTAAATTCCTCTTAGGATCCCTTAATCGGTTCTGCTAGGTGGTTTTAAAAGAACGATGCAAATATTTTCTTGTGCAGTTTACACTGTTTTATATTTGAGGGTTTCCATGGTTTCTTCCCTGTTAATACAGGTTTTACTAATACATATTTATTATTGTTTATTCCTTATTTTGTATACTTTGCATTTTAGTTAATTTAAAAAAATCATTACCAAGGGCCAACTTTAGGCATTTAATTTTTAAATTTCATTTGTAACATTTATCTTTCTGAAACAAACAAACCATTTATCTTTTTGGTCCTATAACTTATTTTCACCTGAAGAATCGTTACTTTATTTAAGCTGTTTATAAAATACCATCACTTAATATGAAAATCGTAACTTCTTATTTTTCTATTCTCCTTTTTTATTGGTGTTTTGACTATCAAATTGATGTTCGAATCCTTAGTTCCCTTTGTTTCTATCTCCCTCTCATTCATTTTAAAACTTCTACACTTTGATCTTTATAAGGCCTGGAGGGGACAAATGACTTTAAATTGTTTTTGAGTGTTAAATCTTTTTGGCTGTGGTACTGGGAGGTTGTAGGCTAAGGGTCCTAGCGTAGTGTCTGAAATAGTGCTGAAGATGAACCTGGTCACATATTGGAAGAGATATTGGAAGAATGTCCTGGCCTATTAGATACAGTGCAGTTTTAAACATACGTCAAATTGTGAGTTTCTTTTTGGGTGACTTTTTGTGATCTTTTTACAGCTGATGTCAGAGTATGAGAGCTATGTGAGGCTCAGGAGCAGGAAGTCAGTTTAATATCTGTACTTAACATCTGTCAGAGCAGTCAAGAGTGAATATGACTTGGGCTGGAAGAACTCATCTGCAGAACACCAGATGTGTCCACAGTGTGCTACATTAGCAGCTCCTTCTCCGTTAGGTGCCCGGGACCTAATCTTTTATTTATTTATTTATTTATTTTTGAGAGACAGAGAGACAGAGCATGAGTGGGAGAGGGGCAGAGAGAGAGGAACACACAGAATCTGAAGCAGGCTCCAGGCTCTGAGCTGTCAGCACAGAGCCCGATGTGGGGCTCGAACTCATGGACCACGAGATCGTGACCTGAGCCAAAGTCGGACGCTTAACTGACTGAGCCACCCAGGGGCCCCCGGACCTAATCTTTAATGTAACAAAAGTTACCTTGGATAGACTAGATTCCTGTATGTAGAACTCAGATGATGAGAAAGTAGGAAGTACTTTGTGCTTGTTAAAAGAACTGACTTGAAGAACATTACATTTGAAGGCCCTGGTAACTTGTTTTGTTTCCTCTCACCAGGAGTTCTGAACTTGAATGGAATTAATTCTTGATAATTCAGAAAATTTAATTCCATTCAAAAACCAATTAGAGTACCTAAGGAAAGAGGGATACTGTGTTAAATACCAGGAGATAAAGAAATAAGATAAGGAGGTGCATATAAGTCACACCTGTGGGAGATTGGTGATGTAAATATATCATTTCAGTGCAATGCTTCGATGAAGATGAACGTGGGAAGTTGCTAACAGGTGCTCTGATGGGTGTCCTGTGTCCAGTTTAGTTAGTGCCACTCAGAAAATAAAGGTGATTCATAACCTTGTCTTCAAAGACTTGTAATAAAATCCAGCCACTGACAGCTTTTCCCCAATTACACTTTTGAAATTCTCCTTTGAGGCATGAATTGTGACATTAGATTATGAATATCAGACACTCAGTTAAGTAATAACGTTCAGTTTTAGTTTTAAATATTTCTTTTCTGGGGCGCCTGGGTGGCTTAGTCGGTTAAGCGTCCGACTTTCGCTTAGGTCATGATCTCGCGGTTCGTGGGTTCGAGCCCCGCGTCGGGCTCTGTGCTGACTGCCAGCTCAGAGCCTGGAGCCTGTTTCGGAGTCTGTGACTCCCTCTCTCTCTGACCCTCCCCTGCTCACGCTGTCTCTCTCTCTCTCTCACCTAGAAATAAATAAAACATTAAAAAAATTTTTTTAAAAATAAATACTGCTTTTCAAATTGGAAATTTTGTTTCAAGCTTTATTCAAAACAGAAGAGGAGGAAATTACCAAATCTTATGACAAATTGAAGAAATAGTGATATTAGAAATCATCTAATATTTATATAATGCCTTTATCCCCACCAATATAGATATGAACGTTTAGCTCTCCATGGAGCTGACAAATACAAATAACCTAGGAACTCCATCTTTTTTTTAGTGAAAGAGGAAACATGTACAGTTCCAAATTTATCATCATGAGAGATAAATAGCTCTAGGTTATTTTTAAAAAGTTTCTCCCATAGGAGGATTGTGTCTGTTTACAAGTGGGGCATAAATTAAGGTTATTACTAATTTACATTTTTTTCTTACATCCACTAGAAATATAAGGATGTATTTTCAGGTGTACTTGGGATTTTTGAATGAGTGACGTACGTACCATTCACTCACCCAAACCCACCAGAATGTGCCTATACATTTAGTTTCCAAGAATACAGTTGAGAGAGAATAACCTCTCGATTGCAAAAACAAAAGAAATAAGGTTTTGTTCCTGATATTCCTGAAAATATCCACCCACAGAAACTGAAAAATGTACTGAATGTGACTTGACCTGATTCTTACTTAAAACCAGGTCTTGGCTGGAGTGGGAAAGGAGAGCCCCACATTCTCTCACCTGCAGCGAAGGTCTAGTTCCTACCCAAAGGGACTTCTTCACAGGGAGGGGAAAAGAAAGTACCCTCCCACTGCTCCCCACTCTTCCGTCTTCCATCTGCTTGCAAATTGTGCTCTGTACTTTTCTTGAAGGTTGGTCATACTGTTTCCTTAACTAGTTAGCAAGAACCCGAGAGTTTATGTTCTACCAGAGAGAGATTATTGCTTTCCCTTCCCCACAGAGGTTTTCTGTTTTCTGTGAAATGCCGTTTGAGGAGCTGTCCCTTCAGCACCCTGGTTCAGAATCACTTCTTTTACATCCTTGTACGTTTAAATAAATATTTAACACATCCTGTGTGTTTACAACTATGCCTCAGACCAGAGGAAAGAAGGAAGGGTATAAGATGGAATACAACAGTTAATTTCCTTAAGGAAAATTCAGATATTCAATTGCAGAAATACATGTGTAAATGCAAACTTGTTACAGAGACATCTTTTCATAAGTGTAAAAGATGTTAGAAAAAGTGAATGTTTGAGGCACCTGGCTAGCTCAGTAGAGCATGCGACTCAATCTCAGGGTCATGAGTTCACACCCCACATTGGGCATAGAGCTTACTTAAGAATAAAATCTTTAAGAGGAAAGAAAAGAAAAGAAAAAGTGAATATTCCTTCTCTCCTTGACCAAGGAGGGTCCTAACATAACTTACATATTTCTCCAAGAGTGTTTCTTTTTTCTTTCTTTCTTTTTCTTTTCTTTTTTTTCTTTTTCTTTTTCTTTTTTTTTTTATTGAGATGGAGAGAGAAAGAGAGAGAGTGTGTGTGAGTGAGAGTGCAAGTGGGAGAGAGGATCAGAGGGACCGAGAGAATCTTAAGTAGGCTCCATGCTCAGCATGGAGCCCGATGCAGAGCTCAGTCCCATGACCCTATGATTATGACCTGAGCTGAAATCAAGAGTCGGACACTCAACCCACCGAGCCACCCAGGTGCCTCTCTCCAAGAAGATTTCTAATTGTCCCTTAATATAGCCATGTTTTTCTCATTCATATAAATGAAATAAGACAAGAATTAGTAATCAGGATTCATTTTAGGACCCAGAAACATTTAAAGTATTTTAAGCAAAAGTGATTTAGCACAGGAAATTGAGTGCTTCCAGAATTGTTGGAAGGGGAGAAGGGGCTCTTAGCTGGACCTGTGGGACCAACTCCCAGAACATTGCAGACCTGGCCCACCCGGCAAGCCACTCTAATTAGAAACGTACAGAATCAGGAGGTGACACTGAAGCTGTCAGTGTAAGGAACACCCTCTTGTAGTTAGGCAACTGCTTGGCCTTTCAACATTCCTTTCTAGGTTTTCCCAGAACTAATGACTGGACACTGACATGCAGAAAAATCCTACTTCTCCACAGCCATGCTTGCCAGGAGAGGCAGCAAGAGTATGGTGTCCATCTCTCTTCTGCCTTTCCTCTCTTGTGCATCTGATTGGCAGGAGCAGAACTGTAGCAGTCAGGGAGTCTGGGAAATGTAATTCTTAGCTCTCAGGCCTCTGTACAGAAAGGTAATGTAGAGAATTTTAGCGTGGATGTTGATTGTTAGTCCCCAGGACCAGCCACACCATTGATTCTTCAAGAGGAGTGCCAGATGAGATGAAAAGCTTAAACAGCTGAAACTTTTGGGTCAAGATGGGTTCTACTTTCTGCATACCTTTTTGTAGTCCTTTGTGCAGACTGCCAGTTGCATTGTAAAATACAAATGAATGTTAGCCGTAGCTAGGATAGGAATACTCTAAATAAGGAAGAATAGACTTGTGAGCACTGCCAGCATCTGAGTGAAAGATGGAGGCATTCTGGAGCTGGCTGAGGAAGGAAGAGAGCAGCCAGCAGTGGGCAGTTCTTCTTTTGATATTGCCAGAAATTCAGAAATATATCTTTGTTTTCTTAGTTTTTTGTTTGTTTAGTTTTTTAGCAAACTGATGCAAACTGATTATTTTCCCTATCTGTTTCAGGAGGTCCAATGCATTTTTTTAAAAAACATTTCAGGTCTGAGTTTGGTTTAAGTCCCTACTGAGATAGATTTTGCCCCCATTTTACTTGACTGTCACTTACCTGCTGAGTGTTCGGCAGGCTGAGTACAGTGGTGAATAAAGCAGACAGAATCTGCCCCAGCGAATCTCTCAATCTAGCAGGACAGCAGGCACTGAACAAGTAATTAAACCTTGTTGAGTCTTGCCAAACAGAGACTGTTATGGATATGCTTGATGGGGGCCTGACCTCATTTAGGCTGGGGTTAGGAAAAGTTCCTCTAGGAGATTTTGTTTAAGCTGAGACCTGAGGGTTGAGTATGAGTCAGCCAGGTAAAGACAAAGAGACCGAAAAGACACAGCACAGGGTTTTCATGAAAGAAACATAAAATCGCACTTTACTCATATAGCAACACCTTATCTAGCTCAAGATTTATAATCACCGGTAGCTGTTATCATCTATCCAAGGAAGCCTTTCCAAACAGAACAGAAGATATAATCAGGTACCCTGGGTTCAAACTCTGCATTGGAAAGAAGATGAGTGGTTGGGTGTGACACTGGGAACATCAGAGACGGAGCTGCGGAGCAGGTGACTTCTGGAGTAAGATGTCTCCTGGGAGGCTCCTCTCCCGCGTGCCTTAGTCACCAGGTCCTGGTAGAACCACGTTTGGAAAATATCCTCTCAATTTATTCCACACTCTCCATCTTCACCGTTGCTGCCATTCAGACCCTGGTCTTTGCATGCCTGGGTTATTTCAGTGGCCTCCTTAGTGGTTCCTTTTGCAGTAGGCTCCTGTCCTCTGGGTTATATTCCCCATGGCTGCCAGAGTTGATGTCCTTCCCAAGTCACAGTCTAACAGCACTCCTCTACTTAAAAATGCACGAGTCCTATCGTTCACAGCGTGAAGTTCAAGCCTCTCAGAATGACTTTTAAAACACTTCACAACCTAAGTGACCCCAACAACACCTTGAGCCCCATTTCCTATCCTAACGCATATAATCCAGCTACACTGGACTCCCTGAAGTTTTTAATATGCCATATCCTCTCATGCCCCATGTTCTTGCTCATGACCTTCCCTTTGCTTGGATTGTCCTTCTCCCACCCCTGATCATCACTGCCTGATGAGATCCTTTCCATTCATTCTTTTTTTTTTTTTTTTTAAGATTTTATTTTTAAGTAAGCTCTACACCCAGTAAGGGGTTCGAACTCACAACCCCGAGATCAAGAGTTGCATGTTCTACCAACTGAGCCGGCCAGGTGCTCCCCTCTAGCAGACTCATTCTTTAGGGCGCATTCCCATTGTTGCCTTCCCTGAGAATCCTTTCCCACTCACCCTCTTAATCCCTGTCCTGCAGTGAGAGTTGGGTGGTTTTCCTGATCTGATTATACTGCTATGAAGACCCTTTCCAGGCACTATGGTTTGGTTGTTGTGTGTCTGCCTTGTCACCGGATTATATGTTCCTCACCATCTAGTACCCAGTAAAATGATCTCCTTCTATGTTCCCTTCAGTTAGAATGGTTTGTCGTGGTATGACATTCTGTATGATGTCCCAAGTAGAAATTATTACATGAGTACTTATTGAATGCCTGCTATGTGCTAGTCATTAAGAATAATCCAGTAGGTTAACATTTCCTGCCCTTTTGCAGTTTACCTTATAGTGGGGAGATGAAAAAGCCAAGGGAACAGACAGCTTGCTGTGTTAATCCATCCAGGTAAATGGGTGAGTCAATGGTGTTTTCAGAATGTTTTTGACTTCCTTTTTTCTTCTCTTTCTCAGTGTTAGAGATTGATTTTGCGGAGCTAACCCTGGAAGAGATTATTGGCATCGGGGGCTTTGGGAAGGTCTATCGTGCTTTCTGGATAGGGGATGAGGTTGCCGTGAAAGCAGCTCGCCATGACCCCGATGAGGACATCAGCCAAACCATAGAGAATGTTCGCCAGGAGGCCAAACTCTTTGCCATGCTGAAGCACCCCAACATCATTGCCCTTAGGGGTGTGTGTCTGAAGGAACCTAACCTCTGCTTGGTCATGGAGTTTGCACGTGGAGGGCCTTTGAATAGAGTGTTATCTGGGAAAAGGATTCCCCCAGACATCCTGGTGAACTGGGCTGTGCAGATTGCCAGAGGGATGAACTACTTACATGATGAGGCAATTGTCCCCATCATCCACCGCGACCTTAAGTCCAGTAACAGTGAGTATGAAGAGATGAAGAGATGGGGCTGGAGGGCTGGAGAACACTCTTATGCTCAGTCCATGGCTTGGTGGGAGTGGATTCCTAATGGAATCTCAGTGGGCAGTGAAACTCCTTAAAACCATTCCGTCCTTGAGTTGAGATTTAGGGGTACAATGAATGCCAGGCAAAATTGGTTTAGGAAAAGAAGAATGAGGCAGCTCAGGGGTTTGAGATAATTTTGAGCTCATGTTAGCAGGCAAGGTTGGCAGTGTATAATTCTGAGATGCTGTGCAAAAATCCACATATGTACATAGATTTATTTTTCCACTTGAGGGAAGTGTGTCTGTAATTACAAAAGGGGTTTTCCTCTTTGGTGGAACAGCAGTCGATCAAAGGTATATTGCCTGTTTGCAGTCTGCCTGAGCACCCCAATTTGAGGTACCCATTAGAGAAGGGGCCGAGAGGAAAAAGAGGCACCTTCTTTGAGCCGTGAGGCCAATTCAGGTGACAGTGTCAACTGGGAGTGCACAACCGGCTCTTATTAAGCCTGCGGGTATTATTAATTAATTGTTGTAACTATCTAGTGTTTAATAGCAGGGAACTGAGAAGTAACTGTTTATTAAACATCCAGAATCCATAAACTGGATTGTAAAGCAAGTGTTAGACATAATTACATGGTAAGTTGGTGGAGACTGGTCTCCTTGGCGGAATCTGCGAGTGCTGGGACTACGCTGCTTTTGTGTTGTAATTTGTGCTCTCTCTCGCCTGACCTGTGTGGTAGAGAGGATGGAATTTGTTCAATGGCATATACTTAAAATCACTTCGAGCACCGTGTCCAGAGAGGAGGGAGTTAGGGTTTTGGAGGGTGACATGGGTCCCAGGAACTTTGCTGTCTGTCTTCTTCAGTGTTGAGCCCAGAAATCCTTCAGACTTTGTTCTGAGCTGTTCCAGATGAGGTTTATTGTTTCTGCTGATACTATTGTGAATCTGTTTATTTCAAAGAATATGTCTTAAAAGTTTAAAAATAATAAATAAAATAAAATTATATAAGTAGTACATGTTTTTGTTGTACAAAAATTAGTGAGTGTAGATAAACAACAACAAAAAAAAAAAAGAGAGAGAGAGAGAGAAAGGTAACCCATAATGTTTTTCTTCAGGAAGCGTAAGTATTTCATTTGACACATCCTTCTAAATATTTTTATGGGGCGCCTGAGTGTCTCAGTCAGTTGGACACTGGACTTCAGCTCAAGTCGTGATCTTGTGGTTCATGAGTTTGAGCCTCGCATCCGAATCTGTGCTGATAGCTCAGAGCCTGGAGCCTGCTTCCGTTTCTGTGTGTGTCTCTCTCTCTGCCCCTACCTGCTTGTGGTCAGTCTCTCTCTCTGTGTCTCTCTTTCTCAAAAATAAATTAAATAAATATTTTTAAAGGAAATATGTATATACACACAAATATATTTTCTGATTTTCTTTACAATAGCCTTTCTTAACCTTTTTTTATTTTTATTTATTTTTTTATTTATTTCTAGGAGAGAGAGAGAGAGAGAGACAGCGTGAGCAGGGGAGGGTCAGAGAGAGAGGGAGTCACAGACTCTGAAACAGGCTCCAGGCTCTGAGCTGGCAGTCAGCACAGAGCCCGACACGGGGCTCGAACCCACGAACCGCGAGATCATGACCTAAGCGAAAGTCGGACGCTTAACCGACTAAGCCACCCAGACGCCCCTAGCCTTTCTTAACCTTAAAGTAAATATATGTACACACACATACACATATTTTCTAATTTGCTTTAAATTAGCCTTTCTTACCCTTATCTCTTCTACCTGACCCTTATTCACCCTTAACAATAGAAAAATTCATCCTTGCAAAGGCATGGAACATTAAATATAATGCAGGTAAAGGATTTAAGTTCCATAAAACAAAATGTGATTATTTTCATCCCTCCTCCCAAATTCTGTTCTCTAAATGTATTAAATAAATTAAAAGTTTTGGTGACTCTTTTCACATTTCTGCCTAGACTTTGCTTTGGATGATGGGTTAAGAATAAGCAGATGTGTTGGTAGAAAATGTAATGTAGAAAGTGATTTTTAAAAAAGTTTTTTCTTGTATCCTTATCATGCTGGGAGAAATAGGCCAGTTCTCCAATCTTATGTATTGAGCCCTCTTAAAAACTTGAGCTAGGATGATGGAACTGTAAAAGTCAATCATTTCCTCCAGGAAGTTTCAAATTTGGGTGTAATCTAAGCTGTAAACACAAGGATTTACCTTCTGTGAGATTTATGTTTGGAAGTCTAGGTTCTTGGGAAGAAAAAGCTAACTTGTTGCGGGAGATGGCTAGAGACCTCGATGCCATTCTGTCATCAGGGAGACAAAACCCTTAACGGACTTTAAGATTGCCAAAGTGGAGCCTCAGGTGTAGTGTGTTGTGGCGAGAGCTGGACTTACACATGGGGCAGTATGACCCTTGACATCTGGGTAACAGATGCCCAGAAAAGTGCATAGTCCATTGGGCTCTGTGGCTGGTGCTGATATTGATGCCTGCTGTAAATCTCACATGGGAGTTAGGGTAGCTCCCTGAAATTTGTCTGTGGTGGCTGTTTGCTGGGATTGTAGAAATCCACTATGAGTCTTGATGACATTGCTGCTTTTACTCCACTGCTCTGTGGGCATGACTTGAAATTCATTTTAATCATGTTAATCATTTAAAATAATGTTGTGCTAGTTTTTACCCGCCTGTTAGAGAGTCAGAACTTAGTGTTTTGCAGACCTGAGTACACTGGCCTGTTTTTTTCTTGGTTCCAGAGGGTTGGATTTTGGTAGCGGTCATGTGAGGGCAGAATTGTATGAATCCTACACATTAGTTTACTTAGAACCACTAGAGAAAAGATATATATATATATATATATCGGGGCTGTCTTTGTGGAAGAAAGAAAGTAGTTGGTGATAAACATCTAACTGTTACAAAAGGTTCAGTAAAAAAGGTTATTTATTAAAATGCTTTATTATCCTGGTCACCGGCTTTTAAAAGTCACGTGCTGTTAACTGGCAATGGAATATGTACAGCGTCCTGTGTTAGTCTCTAATCCTCAGTAAGTTTAGGTTTGACTGCACATCACCTAAAAACCAAAATAGCAGTGGCTAAAACAAGATATACATTCATTTGTGTTTGAAAAGAAGTCTGCAGGGTTAAGACCACCACAGTGTCATCAGGACCCAGGCTCCTAGTTTTCACTGCATCCCAGTACATGGCCTGCAGCCTCAGGCTTGCCTTGTGCTCTAAGATGGCTGCTGAAATGCCAGTGATTTGGTCCAAGTAACAGGCCTGAAGGAGGACGGAAAGCAGAAGCACAGAAAAAGGGGCTCCTGAAACTGAGTTGGCTCCCATGAACCTCCCAGAAGTCCAGCAAGACACGTCTGCTTGCATTAATTGGCCAGGATGTCATCATATAGCGCAGGGGAGCCTGGGAGATGCAGGACGTTAATCTGGGTGGCAGTGAGCCCAGCTAATAATCAGGGTCTATTACCAGGGGAGGCTGGTGGCGGAAGCGGCTGGCGGTCTTACCATGGACTCTTAATGTGGGCCATGCGTTGGGAAGAACTATTACTTCAGGTACTGAGCACCGTATAGCCAAACAAGGTTAGCCAGGCCTTGGGACGTGTGGCTCATACCCCTGATTTAACTAATAGTTTATACTACTTTAGCATGTTGCATCATTAACGCAAACATTGCTTCTTAAAACCACTTGCTTTTATAGCTTTGGCTATAAAATTGGATTTATGTCTCTGTTCCATCCACTGGGGAAAACCAGCTACTTGATTGTTAGCAAAGCTGTCAGTGAAAGATGGCCTTTTAGTGGAAAGATTGTCCTTCTGGGGGTAGGTGGATGGATTTCAGGATTTTGGCTTATAGGCATGTGGCAGAATAGCAGTTTAATAGTGGTCATTAAAAGTTAAATCAGTGTAAAAATGAGATCATATGAAAAAGCTTTGGAAAATGAAAAACCTTGCCCGAAGTGAAGGTTGTGGTATTACTTTTATTATTAAATCACTTCTCTTAGAAAACACAGAAAAACATAGAGGTAAAAGCAGTTTTTCCAGTTTTTGCATGTATGTGTATTTGTTTTTACCCAGAATCATGCACAGGAAACCGTAATAACCCTGTTACTTGTAGCATGCTTTCCTGCTGCTCTACTTGTCAGCGGGTTGTGACTTGCTACATAAATAAATACTCTTCCACCACAAGATATTTAAAGGTTGCACAGTTCTTCCACTATTTAGATATGGTGTATTAACTAAACCAAACCCTTAGTAATAACAGTAAAAGCAATAATATAACTGATGCTATTAGGGCACCTGAGTGGCTCAGTCAGTTACACATCAGACTCTGATTTTGGCTCAGGTCATGATCTCATGGTTTTGTGAGTTTGAGCCACTTGCCAGGTTCTGCACTGACAGCGTGGAGCCTGCTTGGGATTCTGTCTCTGCCCCCTCCCCCACATGTGCATGCTCTCTCTCTCTCTCTCTCAAAAAAAAAAAAATATATACGTATGTATGTGCTCTCTTTAGATCAGGCACTATCTAAACATTTCATGTAGATTCTCTTAAGTTTTACAGCAACCCTGCAGAGTAAAGACTATGAATGTCTTTATTTTATAGATGAGGAAACTGAGGCTCAGAAAGGTCATCCATTTCTCTAGAATCTCACCGCTAGTCCTAAGAGCAGACTTAGCACCCAGACCTGACCCCTCAGCTTGTGTTCCCAGTCACCACACTGTTGCTGGCACATCGCTTTCGGGCAGCTGGGGTGTCTCACTGCATTGCGTCATGTGGCCCTATAGTGCTTTGGTTTCATAGAATTAGGGATAATATCACTATCCTACTCGCAGAGCCATAGCATGCACATTTCATAAGATCTGATCAACTTACTCTTAGTTTCATAGCTGAAAACCAGAGGTGAGTGGTGGACTGCACTTGGCTGGGACTAGCCACATCAGCCTTCTTTGGTTTGGATGTCACCCGAAACG